TGTGTAGGCCTGATATAAAAGTCATTGGCTTCCAATTTTAAGAAATTCGATTGTAAGCAATTTGATCGAATATGAAAGAGAGACGAGAGCAAAATAATTTGACAAACAAAAGACGTTTGCATCTTAAGCTTCGTTAACACAAAATACGATTAAAAATTAAAGAACAAGGATGTGCACACAAAATGTAGAACGATATTTTCAATTTTCAAACTGCTGTTACTCAATGAGAACTAAACCGTTCGAAATGAAAAGTGACCATTTTTGCAACTCGAATACACCAATATCCCAAAAAATCAAGGAAAAATGTATCTCTGCTTCGAAAAAAAATCAGTTCTACTAAGAAAATGTAGATAGAGATATTTTTGCTAAGAATATCAAGAGAAGAGCTAAGAAAAGAATTGTGATACATAAAATAACATTATTAGCAAAGCGATTAGGGGAGTAGTTTATACACTAAGTCTATTGCAAGAATCGATGTAGGAAACAAAAGTTCGGAGTAATATCGCGAATTTCCATTGCACCAAAAGAAAGTGTTGGCAAAATACTATTTATACACATTCCAAATAACTGTATCCAATGCGACGGTTGACTCTCCCTTATCGTAAAATTTCTTTTTTTCGATATTTTCCCCAAACGATAAAAATGGAGCGCTATTCACTCATATACGATCGTACAGTTGTCTGTGAACCGCCATAATATAGGATACTAAACAATCAGTACAAAGCCAATCTTATGGCTGTTTTAGCATCTATAATTATGCCCAATTATGTTCAGTACATGCTCACAAAATCTGTGACGATAATGAAGACTGATGTGCATCAGCCTCCCCATTCCCCATACAAATAATCTATCCGAATGAAAACCATAGTACAAAAATGAATTTGACGAGCTTCCAAAAATCCCATCTTCGGGTAGTTTTCCAAAATATTATAAAACCTCCTTATGGACAAAAAATGAAAGTGGAATGTGTGGTAGACGTTATGATAGAAGCGAATCATCTTCGCAGTACCTATTCAAATGATCCATGTCGTTCAGTGTCACATTACCAAAATGGATCTCGTAAGTCTCCAGAGAGGCCATATTGGGCTAATTTTGAAGGATGTTTCAAATTCCACTTATGCGGAAAAAATGGAGGTGGAATTTCTTGCAATTGTTCACATACAAATGAATCACCTTCTCAACCCCTCTAAAAACTACCTATTGAGATCAGTATGCTATTTCCGAAATCTGCTTGGCAACCTTTTGAAATAGCCTTGTTCGGGTAGTTCTGGAGGATATTCTATGGCCTAATTATACTGAAAAACTTAACGTGGTATATATTGCAATAGTTGAGATATAAGTGAATTATCTTCTCAACCCCTCTAGAAATTACCTATTGAGATCAGTGTGGTATTTCTAAAATCCCCTTGGCAAGCTTTTCAAATGGACATGTTCGAGTATTTTTCGAGGATATTCTATTGCCTATTTATGCTGAAAAAATGAAGATGGGATGTATTGCATTAGTTGAGATATAAGTGAATTATCTTCTCAATATTTACAGATATGACCTATCGCAGTGAGTGTGGTATTACTAAAATGCATTCGGCAAGCTTTCAAAAAGGCCATGTCTGAGTAGTTTTATAGAGCCTTCTAGGGCCTACTTCTGCTGCAAAAAGGATGATGAAGTCTTTTGAAATAGTAGAGATCGAAGCTATACAAGTCTGGCTTAAGCTGCTTATATGGCTTCTATCATATCCACAGTCAAATCAGTAGGAAAATTGCCATTATGTGCAAAAGTATAGTTTACTTATTTAGTAGACTCTATTGCCTTTGGAATCATTTATAATTAGTGGGCGTTTTGTTAACATTTTCAAATAGGGCCACTTTAGCTACGAAATCCACCCCCATCCTTTCTGAAATTTATCCTGTTCAATAATCGTGTTCTATATACATATTTTTTTCTTAATAAAAGCTGACCTGCCGATTTTTTCTGTTCTGTAAATATATATCAATGATAGGCAGCGACTTAGCCAAGGGAGGGCAAATGGGCAATTATCCATTTCATTTGAAGATTTGCCCATTGTAATTTTTATTAGTAAGTTTTTGCTCATTGAAATTTTACTTTTTCAGAATTGTTTATTGATTTTTGAATTAGATAGTGATTTTTTGTTTTTTCTTCCGTCTGAATCACACATGCACTTTTTGCTTGTTCTTTCTGTGAAGAATGAAGTGAATAATCGCTGCTAGTATTTTTTATTAGGGTTACTAGATGAAAAACTTAAAACTCAGAAAAAAATCAAAATTTTTTTTCCACAATCGGAAACTAATCAGAAAGAGTAATTTGTTGCAAAGCAAGGACTATCATGTTGACATACTTGCACAAAAGGTTTCACTTTGTTTATCGACTCATACTTTGCTTCCGAAAGTGTTTCATAGTAAAGAAAGACAACACAACCATTATATAGCTTAGAGTAAAAGATCGGGTGTTGGAAGCTAAAGAGATTCACTATAGTTGGATCAAATGAATGCTCATACTGTCAAACCAACTAATTAAAAATATGAGCTGCCAATATCGTACACTCACCGAGAGGTTTACAATTTGTTATGTATCCATGCTACGAAATTTCATCAAGGGTTCGTTTTCTTTTTTCCTCATGGTTGGATGGAGCAGGACCATTTACACAAGAAAAAACAATATCACGCATATTAAAAAGCAAACTCTACCAAGTCTAAAACAACATTTTTTTAATTATAAGGGTAATAAACAAAAAATTCTAATTATTGTCAAATTGCGTTTGAATGTGTGTAAAATTGGTTCTCCTTATGTAAATAGTTGTGTTCCATCCAATCATGACGAAAAAAGAAAACTAAAGTTTGATGAAATTTCGTAGTGTGAGCACATGACAAACTATAAATATCTTATAATTTAAACATCTTGTTCTATGTATACTATAAGCAGCTCAGGTTTTAAACTAGTTGGTCTGTGAATGAGAACATTCATTTGATTCGACTATGAGCAATCTCCGTAATTTGCCGTTGTATGGCCTTCATTTGTTAGTTAATACAAAAAAAGCTAGCAAAACACAACCAGTGTCGAAATCTTTACGAAGCCCAAAACTCTATTTACGAAAAATATACGCAAACAAATCATATATATAAACAATGTAGATCAAAAAATCTTACGAAAAATAATGAAGATTGTAGAACATAAATTCCATATGATGTTTCAAGTTTATCTTTGTTCAAAATTCCTTCAATCAATGTTTTTGAGCTAAAATATGTTTACAAAATCGTTCAAAAAAAAATAATTAACATTCATTCTTAAGTTTAGCAACGTAACAATTTACTGATATATTAAAGCACTCGTCAGTGGCTGCAGAATTCAGAAACTAGAAAAGATTAAGAAAGGAAAGAAGGTAGCAAAATATGAAACTATAATACTAATGGATTATATTCGTCATTAATTTTGCTGGTAAAGCCACCATCTAAAAACGTTTGGAATTCTGCAACAAATCAGAAAAATCAGAAGAGGGTGTGGGTGTGAATGGGTAGGTGTGCGTAGGCGGGTGTAGACGTGGATATCGATGTACATATGGGTGTTGGTATAAGTTCACTCTTCATTTACACCCACACCCTTATCGAGGGGAACCGGCAGAAACTTCAATCTTGAAGTCTAGAAATCTGACTAAGTCTTTTGAAATGACATCAAGTCTTCGGAAGTCCCATGAAGTCAGCCGAAGTCCCTCGAAGTCTTACAAAATTTTTTGAAGTCTCTGGGCTATAGCTTCTAATATGTGTTGAAATCTCATGAAGTCTCTTGAAGCCTCATGAAGTCATTAGTATCTCTTGAAGTCCTAGAAATCCCATGAAGTCTTTAGAATTCTCTGGATGTCTTTGAAAAATTTCAAGTCTCTATGCTTGATATCTTGAAGTTTGCTGTTTTCCTCTAGCTCGGAACCAAAGCGGGAGTCTTGGTCTTCAGGATCCTATAAATTCAGATAGGAAGATCAAAACGAAAACGATCGATTTTACCAGTAGTGTCAAACTTGAAAGTTGAATTCAAGTATTCAACTATCAGTTCAACTATTTAACTAATCAACTATTCAAGTATTCAATTACTCAATTAGTCAACTCCTGAAATGCTACCAGAATCATCTAACACCGACAGGTATTGTCTGGGATGCTTGTGGCATCCCATATGATGCTATAGGCATCACATAGAATGCTATATGCATCACCTGGGATACTACAGGTTTTGGTTGAAATGCTTCAAACATTATCTCGGATGCTACAAGAAATATGTGAGAAGCTTGAGCTACTGTGCAGTACTGACTAGAAATAATGGTATACACAGAGACGTGCATGGGTCGCGGCTCTTCGGGGAGCACTTCGCACCCCCACGCTGAAATAAAAGGTGTGTTAGGTGGAGAAACGCACTTTTCCACTGAAACTCCGGAGAATACTTGAGAAGTTAAAATTTGAATAGTTGAATACTTGGATAGTTGAATACTTGAATAGTTGAATACTTGAATAGTTGAATACTTGAATAGTTGAATACCCGAATACTTGAATGGTTGAATAGTTGAATAGTTGAATGCTTGAATGGTTGAATACTTGAATACTTGAATGGTTGAGTAGTTGAATACTTGAATAGTTGAATACTTAAATAGTTGAATACCTGAATAGTTGAATACTTGGATAGTTGAATACTTGAATACTTGAATAGTTGAATACTTGAATACCTGAATACTTGAATATTTGAATGGTTGAATACTTGAATAGTTAAATAGTTGAATACTTGGATAGTTGAATACTTGGATAGTTGAATACTTGAATAGTTGAATACTTGAATAGTTGAATAGTTGAATAGATGAATACTTGAATAGTTGAATACTTGAATAGTTGAATACTTGAATACCTGAATAGTTGAATAGATGAATACTTGAATAGTTGAATACTTGAATTCAAGCTTCAAGTATTACTTATATGATTTTATCTGTATCCATTGCTGTAGTTGCAATTTAAATAGAAGCATTTTCAATACGTTTTGATATATTAATACGAATACGTTTTTCTGATAGAAAACCTGGAAAAAAAATAAAAATTTTATTTTTGATTAATTAAAATAAATATTTTCTTACCTTCTTCAAGATGTGAATCATTAAGATTACTTCCTAAATCTTTTGGTGTTTGAATATCTTGTAAATCAGTTTTATCCTAACAGAAGATATTTTTTATTTTTTTGATCAATTTAAATGAAGATATTTACATGTAATTTTAATACAGGATCAACACATAATTTCGAAAAATGATCTTTTTTTTCTTGAAAAATTTTTAAACTAAGTGTTGTACGAGCAATATTCATAAGATCACTTTTAAATTGTTGCAAATTTGAATTAATCAAAAAAGTATAAAATACAATATTTTTTTAAATTTAAGTATCTTCTCTCATACCTATTATAATTAGCAACGTCTTCTAAAACTATAAGTGCTTCATTAGTGACATTTCGCCATCCTGTAATAATCGTTTGAAGATGAATTTTTTGTGCAAGTAAATTTTCCGTTTCCTATTACAGTCAAGAAAATTTTCAATAAAAAGAATTTCAAAAAAAACAATTCATCCTCGACGTAGTTCACTAGCTAAAACAACAACAGATGTTGTACCATCACCAACTTCATCATCTTGTACTTTTGAAATATTTATTAATTAAAAAATAATTCATCAAAAGAAAAGTATATTAACAAAACATACCAACAAGAACTCTTTCCACCAAATTATCAACACCAATTTTTGATAATATCGTTGCTCTATCATTTGTTATTAATAATTTATCTGCATCAGGTTCACCACTTATATTACATTGAAGAATTTTATCTGAAGTAAACAAATTTCATGTAAAACATAAGAAATAAGAAATAATTCATAACATACTCTTTGGACTAAGTGTACTTTTAACAAGATCACCAACAGCGATTACTTCAGCAAAAGTAGATTATAAAGATTATTATATAAAAACATATTAATTGAAAATATAATAAGATAAAGAAATTTGATCTCTTACATATTTAATATCTTTTGATGATGTATCATTAGAAAATTTTTTAATTGTTTTTTCAATATATTCTTCATCAAAAAATTCTAAATGATCAACTTCTTCACTAAGTTGAATAAAGAGAAATCTTGATATAATATTAATTAAATATTTAAGAACTTCATTGTGTTAAAATAAAAGAATAATAGTTGATATGTGTTAATCAAAATTAATTACATCTTTCTTTGCATTTTTCAATATTAACTTTAAGAAAGATATTATTCAAATCTAGACCACTTAATTGTTCGATATATGAAATAATACTTTTACATGAATCACACATGAAAATAAAACTATTTATTGAATGATCAAAAGAAAAGAATAAGATAATTCGAACTATGAAACAAAAACTTCAACTATAACAAGTTTATTGCTAGCTGATGTCAATTCATCATTAAGATCATTGTTGGTAATTTCTCGAACAAGTATATGAGATGAATAAAGGTTTCTACAAAAAAAAAAAAATCATTGAAAAAATATCTTTTTCTTTTCTTGATATATTTAAAAAAGAAAGTTCATATATTGTCAATATCAGACAAAGAAAGAAACCTTCAAACAGAGGTACTTTCAAATGAGCATAGATTAGAGAATTTATTACTTTAGAAATCTTCTCACAAATTTATTTCAATGAAATTAATTGTAGAGAGAAATAAAGAACAATACATATTATTCAAAGATATTAATCTTTAAGAGGGCAAGAAAGAATTAAAATAAAGATCGACAATTATCGACCTATTTTTTTAACTTATTAGAAAATAATTAACACTCGGCCTGATATTTAAGATCTTTTCTGAGAAATTTCTTGTTTGGGTGTGGGTGTGGGTAAAGAAAACCGACACCCACACCCCAATTAGTTCTTATTAAATGTCAGTCGAAAGAGTCAATATTTTTACATATATTCATGCCAAAAGAGCTTGTGCAGAATAAAAAACCTTGTGAAAAATCTAAGTCAAATGGAAGATGAGTATGTCCTGTTGTTCCTAGAATTGCCCATATAGGCGTATATGTTTCGAAACAAGTAGCCGAATGACTAGAATGAAAACGTAGTGAGGACAATGGAAGAGAGACTTCAGATCGTGAAGAATCAAAGAACTGTAGAGGAACGAAGGACTAGAATGAATGCTGAACGCAACTATATGTGGAACAAAAGATGAAGAATGAAAAGAAATAACAGGCAAAATTTGTGAAAGCATTAACCCGCGGGTTATGTGTAAAATGATAAAGCCGACTTGTAAAACCGTAAATCGTGTAAATGCCTAATCCGCAAATACGTAATCCGTCATAGGTCTAACCCGTGCACGGGTTCCAGGTTGTGTCAAAACAGATCAATCCATGAATATCTCTAATGCTGACATGAGAGCTTGTTCCTCTTCTTCTTACTCACTCTCTTCGGTTGTCAAAGTCATCATCTATCCTTGATGTTTGTTTTTCTTTCTCGAGAAAATTCTGCTTATTCGACACTCATCGTTATAGTGTGATGGAAAGAACTTCTAACAGATCGAGGCAACTCACACTCACTATTACACGTGTTCCCTCTTTTTTATTTTTTTTTATTTTATCTATCCATTGGCCTCATAAAATGTGTTTGGCAATTACATGTGCATTTATTGCGGTTGTTACCAAGTCGATGAATAGATAAGAGAAAAGAGGAAACTGAGCAACACGCAGGTAGATTTATCTACCTGGCAACAATTTTTTTTTCTGACGATACTTTCTGCGTTGCATTCATACTATACTTTTCGCCGTAATTCTTGTTGTTGCCTTACTGGTCTATTATATAAAATTCAGATATTATACTTTTTGTGGCCCTTTACCCGGTTTGTCACCTCACTTTCTCTTTGGCAATTTGATTCAGTTGGATATACTGCTAGATAATGTATCTTGCTCTGATGCTTTGCTAGCATTCAAAGCCCGTTATGGTGATATTTTTCAATTTTGGGCTGGCCCTACACGTGTAATCGTCGTGAGTAATATTAATGACGTACAGCACATATTCACTCATCGTCACATCTATGATCAAGGCGATTTAACTGTTCAAACATTCGGTGTTCTTTTTCCTGATGGACTTATTTGCAATAAGAGTCGGTTTGTCTTTTTATCTAATTGACGAAATCTGCTTTTGTCCTCGTTAGGTGCCAAGTACAAGCGACATGCCTCAATCATTCTTTCCTTATTTCGCCGTGGCAAGATCATCGCCGATTTAGATTTGATTATCGATAATGTGGATAAACTATTAGCTCAATGGCGGCGTGTCGATTCCACTCAACACATTCATTGTGACATTGTAGAACAATATAAAAATCTTCTACTTGTTATCTTTGGTTTTATTGCCTTAGATTATGACCTCGGAACACTCAATGAAGATCATACTACAGGCAATGAACTCACTCAGGCGCTACACGAATTTTTAGACATATTTAACGTGTTAGCCTATTCACCGCCTATCCTCGCTCATGTCTACTTGAAAATGAATCCTCGATATCGACGGACAAAAAACATCATCGAACGATATTGGTATCGAATGATTGAACAGGAATTGGGTGAGAGTGAAGAGGCGACAGCACAACGAAAGAGAACATGTTTTATTGCTTCACTGGTTGCTTCGCTACAAAAAGACGAAGCAATGGAAGCGAAGAAGAGTGAAGTAGACAAAAAAGGAAGATATTAATGCGCAAGAATCCGATTGGTTCACGATTCATGTACATGACTAAGGTCGAAAATTATTCAAAAATTCGAAAAAATCTCATTGTTTATTCTTGATGTATGAACATCGTAGGTTTGTCTCAAAAAGAAGTGTTGGATGATATGCTTCTATTTCTGGTTACCGACTTTGAAACGACTTCAACTGCTTTAGCATGGTTTATTCATTTCATGAGCAAAAAACCACGAGTGCAGCAGAAGATCAAGGCAGAATTGATGAATGATGACGGCAACAGACAAGAGTTGTCACTCGAACGACTTGATTCATTGATGTATTTGGATTGTGTTATCAAAGAAGTACTTCGCTTAGCTCCACCAGTCGATGGAGCAGCTCGCACGTTAACCATTAACGATTGTCTTCCTGGAAGTGGTGCTCATCTCTACAAAGGTGACCAAATATTCATTCCATTTTATGTCCTCACACAAGATTCTCGACTATGGTCAATTGATTCAAAGCATTTCTATCCTGAAAGGTTTTTGGATCAAGACAAGGATCATCGTAGATATGCATTCATGCCATTTTGCGGTGGTCATCGTCAGTGTATTGGTTAAGATTTAGCTCGATTCGAACTGAAAGTGATAGCAACGAGACTAATGCAATATGTGACATTCGGTGATGGTGATCCTCAAGTCAATGCAGGTGGATATTTGGCAAGGGCCACTATGATGCCCAAAAATGTTGGCGTCACCATTCAGTTTGACTGACATTGGTTTTTTCTACCAGTAGTTCTAAAATTCAGAAAAATAGCCAACAAATGTTCGTTGTTGTTGATGATTTGGCAATGGTTGCGTTGCCTTGAGCAGGGTGTGGGTGTGGATCGTCTCTTCATTCACATCCACATCCATCAACAACATTTGAAGACTCATTGTGATTGTAATCATTTAATAGACGTTTAGAAAATACAATGCTTAATACGTGCTATATATGATCGAAGAGAAGGTCGAAACCTTTAGTCTACATCAGTCTTATCTTATATCCAGAGCTATAGTTTGTTAAATAAAATGAAATCGATGGTTGTTTCTGGAGATTGTTAATTGTTGAAAAAATATTGGATTAATTTAAATTATCTTTGATAGAATCTTACACATGTATACCTTATGCATTTTTCGATCATTTTATGATCACCGCTGATATTATGAACACACAATTCAATTACTAGAATGAATATCAACTTAACGATTTAATAGAAATGCTGTTTGTGAGAACTGATTAAGTGGCTTTTCAGATTGATCAAAATGAAAAGTTGAGTTTATCATTTCTTACTTTACTAGAAAAAGGAATTTATCGAGGTAAGATATTTAATATCATCTATTGTCAACATTTATTTTTGCACAATCATGGAATTCTTTCCAAAAATAGGGCATAAATTAATACTTCAACCTTGTGGCTATTATCAAATGGAACAGAATGAAAACAATCTAATGACATTTGATAAACTTTACTTGTGGCCAGACATTGACAATCATATAAGTAAATATATGAGATTTTCTTTTATAGAAAATTTTATTTTATTTTATTCATTCTAGATAAGAATAATAATCACTCCATAGATCGAATTGATTCGTAATTGTGAATAATGTTATAGTTCTGATTTTAAAATTTAAATGTAGTTTGTAGGACAAGAACTTGTTGGCAACACTAAAATTTGGTTCGATTAGATGTCAGATCTACGGTCATTAAATATTCATATACAAATGTTACCGAAGTTAGTGTCAACAATAAATCTGAAGAGTACAATCAATCGATTTTCATCTCTCCAAAAACTTGTTGTGTATCAATGAGATCGTCCACTAGATGATGATACTGTAACTATTATTGCTCGATTAGTTGTATCATCGTCGTAAGAAAAGATTCCAATTGAAGAATACAAAATGTTAAATTTTCAATCAATGAATAAAAATAATTTTCTTTTAGCTATTTATCAAATTTGTTGTAACATTTATAAATTGGAGACAATGGCAGTTGAATTTGCAAATTCATATTCATTGATCGATAGTTCAATATTAGAAAAACTTCATGGTGTTTTATCCATTTTTGCCTTGAAAAATAATCGAATCGTATTCTCTTTTCTTTATTTGTACCAGGAAAATTTTCTTATATTTCAAATCTATTTCTTATTGTTTTCTGTAATGAATTTAATCATTCGTAACTGATAAGTAAAGTAATCTAGAAGTATAGAATGATTAAGCAGATAAAGTTAACTTAAATCTATAAATTATTCTTGTATAAGAGTAGTTCTTCTATTATTGCTTTTTCAAACTGGTCCTTTTAGAGTATGCTTATGGGAAAATTTTTCTTGAAAAACTGCGACCAACAAGGATTAGTGGAACTACGGCTTTGGTAGCTTTTATTAGAAAATGCAAGTCAGATGGCTAATCATGTTTTATTAACCGTCCAAAATTATGTTTTTTCACGATGCGGTAATGAGTACCTTATGAAAGTGAACAAATGGTCTGATTCTTGCGATTTTAATCAAAACTTTTCTGTGGTCGATTCATCTAGTCGCCTATTTATCTGTCTGACTATCTATCTGTCTTCAGCTATATATTCATTTGTCCATTTGAAAAAATATTCAATTAAAA